GCATGAGAAAGCCTCCAAACGCATGTTTCTTGTGGAAAAACACCCTCTTGGCAGACTTGCTCGTCTTCCAAAGTCCCGGTTTGTCCGAGCTCCCAGGTCGCGAGCTCCGCTCCGTCTGAAGCGAAGCCAGGGCTCGCCACCGTCCGGGCGGATGGCCAGAAAGGCACCACCGTCCAAGGCAGTTCCACAGGACAGGGGCCAAGCATCCGCTGAGGCGCACAAGGCTTCGAAGCCTTGGGAAGAAGGGGAAAGAACCTGTCAGGACGGCCATCTCCCTGTTAGCCATGGCCACTGGGTTGGAGGAAAACGTTGGAGGCCATCGCTATGATAGGAAGGAGGCCATCGCAAGCGACAAGCGGCTAATTCAGAGAAGTGGAGCACAGGATTCATAACATAAAACTGGATGTTCACCCATCAAACTGGTGGTTTTTCTGCAATCCATGCCTAATTGTGGGATGCTTTCCCAAAATCAACCCCAGAAGACCAGAAGACCCATAAAACTCCCACTCACTCAAGACGGCTTACCTATTCAAACAAGGTTCTTTCCACTTCCACATCACATCTCAAAATAAACCTGGCAAAACCAAAGACTTTCCACACACACCCTGAGAGTAAAGCGCTGCAGGAGAAAGGGATGAGCTCCTTGGTTAAAAAACTGACCCTCACATGTGACAATCTTTGTCCAGGAGCCAGAGATGACCTGCAGCTTTGAAGCAACACCAATGAGTGTGAGTGCAGCGTTCGGCGGGATCTCAAGATCATTCAAGCGCCACCAAGATCCCAAGGCCTGCGGCCCATAGTAGAGACGGCCTCGCTTTCCAGCTTAGTTTACAGCATGACAATTGGCTGGTGGAAAGACACAACTCTGAAATCAAACAACCGTCAAACCCACAACAAAAAAACGACATGAAAGCGGTCAAGCAAAACATGCAAACAGAAGGAAAACATGAAGCAAAGGCACCACCATAACCACACATCAGAAAACAAAAAAATACTTGTTCTACAGTGAGATAGGAGACAACAACAAAAAAACTTTGTATGAAACACATTCCAGTTCATCAGCACCAACCTCTTCCAAGATGCTGATGTGTAGCTCTAAGGCCTCACTGGAGAGCTTCATGACTTCCATCACTCTGCAGGTGTGTTCCAGCGAGAGCTTCACGCTGCGGCCGCTCAAAATGGACACCTCCACATCCATCATTGGAGACGCAAGTGACGCACTCGCAGCGCAGTCACAATCTCACTGGTCGTCGGAACCCATGGAATGCGACATTCAAAGAAGAAAAAACGATGAACAATAGAAGGTTTGAAGCCCTAAGAGATCCTGAGAGTAGATAGAGCCTGAGTTAGGGGGGGCAAGAGTGACTTGCTGAGATGAGAGTCAAGCATGTTCACCGTGAATTGTGTGATTAGACTTCAGGGCGGGCATGGCCAAATACACATATATATATGTATATATGCAGTGCATATCTACAAAATGGTGTCCTCTGCATATATTGGTGTCCGTAGTGCGATGGAACCTTGATCGATGCAAGTGCTACAGGACTCATCAGACAGACTCACGCAAACGAATTGACTCATCGAAAGCAAACCGCATGACGCGTGATGCTCATGTCGCCCAGAAATGCTCTCCTGGTCAGGTCCATTCACAGGAGTTATCAGGTCTACTTGGCTCCAAGATCCTTGCAAGGAGCCTTTCTTCAGCTCGCTCATTGAGAAAGAGAACGCTCCCTCAGTTCCTAGCATAGCCTTCACCCAGAAGAGCATAATTATCTTTCAAACTTTCTGTGGGTTGTTATGTTATTACGTTAGTTTGCTATTACGACAGTTCAGAAACATCACTATAAATGCTTTCCAGCGAGACCTCGTCCCAAACCGCTTTGCCTCCGAATGACATGTGCTTTTTTGGACCACGCGATCTCTCACCCGCCCAACCAGGTCTTTCTCCCGGCCCCGGACCAACGCCAGCGCCATGAACACGGCCAGCACATCGACCCGATCCTGCGAGGTCTCGCCAGGTGCCTCCAGGCGCGACACGGCGAGTCAGGCGCCCGGATGGAGTGAGGCGCTTCTCGAACGAAGCGCCCTGATTGTGCGCCCCCCCCTCTAAGTCTTCTTCTGCCTGCGGTTGGATGGGTTTAGATGCCGGCTATAGATGGCCAAAAATGGTTGATGGACACAATATGCTGTAGTGTATTTAAGATGTGTTTCAAAAGTCAACGATTCCAAGTCAATGTCATGAATCAGAAAGATGTGGTAGCGTTGATTGAAAAGAGAATCCGGAACACCTTGAGAAATGGTCAGAATCCTTTTCTCACATATGAACACAGTGGATCGGAGATGAATGGAATTCCTGGCTGATGTCATGTCAATCACATGTCTCATCCATGGATTCCGCTCATGAACTGAGAATTGGTCAGTTGGTGACATGTCCCACCCACAAACGAACCCTGCAACACCCCCACGCTCGCACGCTCCACCGCTCGTGTTTTTCGCGCGTTTGCTTGGGCGTCCAGCCACTTCAATCAGCAGAAGGAACAACAACCTTAGGCCACAAACTGACATAGGCTTGCCACAGAGGGTGTGCCAAAAACGGCTGCTCAGCAGGGTTGAAGATGTGCACATCTGTCACGGCACCCTCTTCCAGGCACCAGGGCGAACCGATTCTGCTCGGGATTCATCCGATCGGTCCCAAGATCCCGCTTCTGCGGCAGGTCATCAGAGCGCGGTGGTTCGACAGGGAGGTCATGCATGCGGCAGAATGTGTGTTTTTGGGGCAAAAAAAAACACAAGATTTGTTTTTGGGGGTAACTTCTGTTGGGCACTGGAAGCATACCTTCGCAAGCCTTGGCAAGACATATGTTATTTTAAAGGGTGCCTTCCTGTCTACACTTGTATTATGTGGTGCCTTCGCGATATGCTTTCGCAGACCTTTTTGGCGTTCCACGCGTCCTTGGAGGGATAGGAAAAACATATTCCGGAAGAGATGAACAATGTCTCCACAGCTGCAAAGAATACTCATCGCTGCAAGAAAAACTCAATATGTTTTATGATTATGCTTTTTTTGACATGCAAATTGCCTTTGCGGAGAATTTGGCTTTGGATGCCTTCGCGCATGCGCAAAACTGTGAGAAGCGCGGGCTATTGTGCAGTTCTACTTTCATATAATCATATAATATGTATATATATATATACAAACCTTTACAGCCTCTACATGCCCCAAAAACGCTGCTCATCCAATTTGAGTTGGAAAGCAAAAAAAAGTTGTTGAAGATTGAAGATTTGGAGCATCCTATTGAGAGCTTTTCAAGAAAAACACATCTTTCTTGGACGATGCGGGATCCACACTGGGGCACACTAGCTCACGATCTTCGATGATCCGCATGTGAAGACCTCTCTTTCGGGCTCCCGCCCTTCCCACGTCTTTTTTCTGCCCAGTGACAACAGGCTGCTGCAACACCAATTTGGCACTTGTAGCCGGACAGGCATTTCCTCACGAAAGTGAGGTCAAAAACCAACGCACAATGGTCAAAAGACTGAACAGAAAAACCATCGAGTCATCCTCAGTGTAGTCAAATAGTAGTCAAAGGTTTGATGTCTAGATGGGTCAAACCCAAGCCTCAGCACACCTTCAACTAAGTAACCAAACTGATTTCAGCCTCCTACAGACCCTGCTCAACACCACCAACACTAAGTCATGCTGCTGTAGGGAGTCTATCCACAAATCTCACCAAGAAAGCTCCCTCTCTCTCTCTCACCCTCTATCTCACCTGCAGCAAATGCTGGAGATGATGTTCATCTCTTCGTTTCATATCGAATTCAAAGCCCTTGTCTTCATCCTGAGCCGAACATGGAATTTCTCTTAAAGACATGGAGTCATGTGTAATGTGTAGCGGAACTGTCAGAGACGAGTCTGCCTGTTCTCCAAGCTGTGCTTGCTTTCTTCCAAATGATTTCATGCCGCCATAAGACCAACAAAAAGAGACTTCACCACGCAAAAAGAGATCCTATTCCTATATTCCTCCCATACCGAACGCGTTCCTTCATTAAAGCTCTGATGTGGGAGGTTTCATGATGTCTTATTCATCGACATGAAAAGAAAAAACCGTCTTCGCCTCCAACTTCGCCACATCTGGCCCATCACGGCCACAGGTGAAGACCCTTCGCCTGGTCACACGCCGGTTAGGGAAACCCGATGGAATCGGGACAGGTCCGGGTCCGTCTTCAGGTGGAGCCAACTGCCACCAGTGGCCCATGTCGGGTGCAGCAACATGTCGGTGAAGATATGATCCAGATGGATCCCGGGCCTTCCAGGTATGCCCTCGGTCATGACATCATGTGACATCAATGCGACTCCGTGACCGAAAAGGTGGCAGTACCTCTGTTCACTCAGTCAGCTCACTCCCACCTGCTTCACATAGAGAGCACAAAAACATCCCTTCACCGCCGCCCCAGATTTCGGTCGAGAGCCCCGCCTGTTGAGATACATCGTGACCTTGCACATGATTGGCCCCACAAAGGGCACCGGAAGCCAGGCAAAGGCACAGAGGTATGTGCTCGCATCGGCCATGGACCGGGTCGACACCTGGACCGGGTCGACGAGGAGAACGAAGCATAACAAAAGAAAATGGAAAGCGCATGAATGGGACCATCTCCTACTGAACTGTAGGCTTCTACTATGGGCTAGCTGGTTGCCTAGAATCCTATAGACATGATATGGAAGTTGTGCAACACTGCCATCCTGCAACAAAACGCCTGTGAGGTACATATTTGAATCAACACGTGTTTCGGGCGTGCTACGCAATAGACGGGTTACCAAAGATCGAATTCAGCATGTTACTGCAAAATCATGGCGACAACTTCACTAAGGTCTGTAAATTATGAGCTAAAGAACATACAAACAAATTGCCCATCCCTCTTCAAAGTAGATCTACATCATTCCGTGGGGACAAAGCAATGAACCTCCCCCCCACCATGTATCTCCAATGCAAATGTCTGTTTTGTCTTGTCTTCTTGTTAGCTTCCAGTCACGAATTCACCTGTGAAACGCAAGTTGTGCGTGTGAAACGTGAAGCACTCTCTCACTCAGCTTCTTCTTCTTCGTCCGGCAGGGGGTCAACGCCAACTGCAGCGTCCACCCCAGTGACTGGATCAACTGGGCTCTGGGAGACAGATCTCTTTTCACATAAGTGGTACCAATAGACATTCAAATCGTCATCACCTGGAACTGATCGGGCAAAGGGACCTAGGAGAAAACATATACAAAAAACCATTCTGGCGTTTCTTCCGAAAAGGGCTCCCTCTAGACAAAAAGAATCCTCTAAGTGATTACACTCCGATTGACTAACACGGAAGTGGATGGCATGGTCCGTTGGATGACTCTTCTCCGAATACCAAACAGGTGGTTTTCCTCCACTTCCATGTTATAGTGAGTCAAAAGTAGGCTCAAACGGTCACGTACCCACCGAATGGTATATCTACCAGGTCACGGAAGGGCACCCATGGCCCCGTCTCCACGGTGGATCTGGGTCGATCCGTCAGCACCTGTGCCTCCTCAGGAGGCACCAAGAAGCCACCCCGGAAGATCTGACCCGTGTTGTCGATGGTGAGATGCACATGCTGACGGCGCTTCCCCTTGCGGTGCAAGCGGATGAAGCACTCGGTGCAGAACAAATCCACACAATCCTCGCAAAGCACGGAAGCATTGTAGTGCTCACACTCCAAGCACACGAGGCCATTGATGACACGCTTCAGGTGATTTCGCAAGTCTGGCCGCGCAGCATCCCAGGCATGAACATGCATGAAGCCTTCATCGGAGTAGAAAAGTCCGCACTGCACACATTGACAGGTTGCAACACGATCCTCAAAGGCGGCACAGACGAGCTGCTCCACATCTGAGGTGATGTGAGCACGTCGTTTGCCTGTGGCATGAGTACTGTTGAAGCAGTCTTGACAAAAATAGTCCTTGCACTGCTCGCACTTCAGCACGGCCGCACGGTTTTCGCACTCCTGGCACATGACCACCGTGCTGGGCTTCCGAATCACATCCACCTGATTCTGCTTCTTTCGGATCTGCCGAAGGAATTCGATGGGATCCTTCAGGTCTTGCACGATGCTACTGAGATCCAACTTCTTCTCCACGTAGGCCTCGATCGTTTGCTTCACCACACGGAAGAGGAAGAACTCCTCGAGTGAGGAACGAAACGGTGCACGGAACGAAACGGGCCGCCGGTGCCGGTTCAAAGCAATCAGAGCGTCTGGGCCAGTCATGGACGAAAAGGCGACCCGGCAAGACGACCCGGTGAGGTCTCTCCAATTTAGTTCCCAAACACTTGGCCAACAACCATGGAACGCCACTTGACTCACCCGGATGTGTGGTTTCCTCCATAGGTGAACAAGAAAAAGAGGTGAGAAGCGCTTCTTGTCTTAGAGTCCCAAGCCCCCCGATCCAACACCCCCCGCATCTCCTTCTTGCTGTCCACGCTAAGAACTCGCGCCAGGCTTTCCACCACTTCTGGAGTCGCTGGAGGCAAGCCTTACAAAGGTCGAAGCAGGACCAACCGCCCGTGTCCCAATGCGAATGGTGTGGGATTCATTGGGATGGTGTCCCAATTGATTGGTTTCCCCATCTGTTCCCAAAATAACTGTTGGAAGTAGTTTTGATCCCATCCAAATTTGGTAAGAGTCACCAACTCCTGTCTTTGCCCAAGTTTAGGAGGTCAAAAAGGTGAAAACCTTCTCCAATGCGAAGCCCGGAGAGTCCCTTGGAGGCTCGTCCCATGACCGAGGCAGTGATGGCGGCCATCTTGGCATCGGTCTGCTCCAACAGGTGGCCAATCTGACCACTCTCCAGCTGCTTGGTATAACTCCTGGCCTTGAAGTAGACCTCTTGATATCCTCACAAACAGAACAAGAAAAATCCGGTTAGGACCCAAACAGAAGCAGGTTTACAAGCCATGTATGGTGTCCTTCAAAAATGGAGGTGCGTGTTGCCTTACAATTTTATCATGTTATGTTCCAAAAGAAAGCAAACAATGTCTCAAAGGAACAGCTCAAAAAAAAGAAACAGAAATGCTTTTGAACATGATCTCTAGAACTCCCCAAAATGTTCTTTACATGCCAAAGGCTCGCAAGATCAACGGATGAACCTTCTGGAGTTTCCGCTCTTGCGTGTGGTAGTACAAGATCTCTCCATCCTCATTGGTGAGCTCCTTCCAGTCCGGTGGAAGATGAGCCCGCGACGCCTCCTCCGCGATCCACAGAAACTGAGGTTCGTTCACGATGTCGATGCCAATCCTCGGCTGGAGAGGAAGAGATGAGCCCAGAGCATTCCTCTGGTCTTTGGAGGAGGTTGTAGCTGGTTTGTGGGGTATACTACTTCTCTGATGCTCTAGGGAAAAAACGTCCGGTGCCACCTTTGGCGACACAAAGTTCTCGGAACACGTTCTGGTGCGATGCAGAACGTAGAAGAGATGGCTTTGAAGGACCAATCACGGTCAACCCCTGCAGTAGACATTGTAGATCGGTGTCTCCAAGGAGATCTGACCGACTCGCTGAACTGTTGGCACTTGTTTTCGTCTGAACAGCGGCAATGAGATCCCTCCACTTGAACACACGTGTGTCAGCATATACACCTTCAACAATCGCATGAAAAAAAAGAAAAAAAACTAAAACCAAGCCCACCGAGAATCATGTCTGCGATGCCCACCACCACTTCCGCCGAGTTGGCGCCCTCTGGGATTTCCTCCTCCGCTTCATTGAGCACTGCGAGTTTCGGCATGGCGGCACGAGGGCGGCCAAGGCCCCAAAACGGGCGATGTTTCCGTGTGGGAAGTCAATGGGGGATGTGCTTCGCAGGCATAGGTTCAAATGGGGGTTGGAGCTGGGAGATGAAGCCCTTTGGCAAACCATGTAACTGTCTGCTCATCCTGTGAGCCTGCAGTTAAGAATCACACGCCCACGTGGCTGCGAATTTGAGCCGCACACATGTTGCATGTCGGTTTCTTGCATCTGCATATCGCGCACGTTGCGATTTGCTCTCTCTAGGGTCTCATCACTCGCCTTGAGCGAAAAAACCGTTAACCTTCAAAACCCCCAACAAGAACCATGAAGCAGGGGTACGATGTTTTAACCGTTGAGTCGTGAATAAATTGCACAAGTTCCTTTACGGTGGTTGGTTGGGGTAACCTATCATGACGTTGGTCTTATCTCTGGTTCCAACACGCACGATTTAGACCGAACTCCGTTGAGTGCCGAGAGGCCAAATCAAAGTTCGCGCCAGCCGCTTCCTCGCCCTCCGTGGTTGTTTCCTCCTACCAAAGTGGGAACGTTCTTTCTGCAAGTCCCAGCAAATGTGTTTTTGCTCGCCTTCGAATGGATCGAACTACAGGAAACCTTCTAAAATAAAGCGCCAGAACTAGAACATAGAAGAATAACAAATGACAAAGACCTTTGCAGGAACCTTCTGGCAAAATCTGTCGGGGAGAGCAACGCGGGCTTTAGATAATGTCAATCGGAAGACCCGATTGGTCCGCGCAGACGTCCATTCCACATGGAAAGAGCGATGACTTCAGAACTGTTTCAAGCGCCTCACGTGGCATAGGATCCAGCCATTCCAGGCGCCCCGAGCATTGCTCGATCTCCATGGTGCCTTCGGTCCAGACCTCCGTCGTAGTACGGTCGGCTTCTGAACCAGGCAGACTGCTATAGCAATCCTTCTCTTCTTGAACGAACATCAACTCCAGGGCATTCCAGGGCTGATATGGAGGAGAGCGACGAACAGCTACTCACAAAAACAGGTAGGTGACCAAAGCTATTGCGAGGCTCATTAGGATGTCCACCCTTATAGCCGTCTAAACCCAAACTAAACTAATCTTCCAACGCTCAAACACATCTTTTTACGCAGTTCGAGCCCTCTTCGCACAACACAAGGTCCACCCAGCTTTCTTTTGGGACCACGCTCGCAAAACGCGAGCGGCTTCTATGTGGCCCCTATGACTTGCAAAATGCCATGGCGTGAAGCCGGCAACTGTTTTTGCATCATGCGAAGCTCCAGAATCAAGTAGCAGGCGCACTATGTCCACGGAGCCACTGGCCGCTGCCAAATGCAATGCAGTTTCGCCGCAAGCCATTGTCCCATCAAGGGTTGCGCGATGCCCCACTAGATGCTCCACCAGCAAGTGCGCGACTTCCAGCCGGGAACAATCCGCTGCCATGTGGAGGCCACTCATTGGGGTAGGAGACAAAGCCTTAGTTGCACCATTCTGCAGCAACCACCGCAGCACCTCCACGCGTCCTGCAGCAGATGCGACGTGTGCAGCTGTCATGCCAGCGCTGAGGCCCGTCATTTCCAAATCGACGGATGCCTGATGTTCCACCAACAGGATCACAAACTCTAAATGGCCCCCGCCAGCTGCATAGTGCAACGCTGTGGCGCCACGGTCGGTCCGGGCATGATCACGTGTTGCGCCAGACTTGAGCAAACAGCGCGCACTTTCAACGAATCCACGTCGAGCGGCTAAGATCAAAGCTGTCTCCCCCCCAGTTTGATGTGGTCTGGTCGCAGGAAGCGCGAGCGTCCAGCAACAAGCGCAGAACCTCCACATGATTAAAGCGCGCTGCCAAGTGCAACGCTCCTTCATCTTCATTGGCCTTAGGCAAGCGTTTCTATGAAGCCATGAAGCGGGCCAAGTTTTTCCCTGCAGGCGGCTTTCAATGTATTGCTTGCACACGACTACCTTCCAATCATACCCAGCCAGTCATTCCCAGCACACTTGAAAGTTGATCCACTTACTTGCCTGGGCACTGCTATGCGGGCATCTACCATACGCATATGTACACCTTTCTGCGTATTGATCAAAACGCACCTACGTGCCTAGCTATCCTTGAACATGTCTCGTGAACACGTTCTATTCAGGTGCCCAACGGAAAAGAAACAACGTCGTTTGAAAACCTTCGACCAGCAACCACATTGGGATCTCGTGGTTCTAGGACTCGCCGTGCAACTTCTCGAGCGTCACCTCGTCACTTCTTTGGTCGAACATCTTGCTTTTGATGACGGCTTGTGGGACCATCTGCGAAAACTTGGGGATGAGGAAACTATATAGGCGTGCTCAACACAGGCAAGTGCTAGATGTAGAAACGAGTACTTGAGGTGAGTACTCATCTTTACAGGGGTCTGTCAACCATGCTGGTAAGAATCGATTGAATGATATTGAAAACATCTTTTAAAAGGGCTTCTGAAAGTGGCGTCACCTGCTCTACAGGCGGCAAGGAATGCTCCATCTTCCTGTGCATCCGCAGGACAAAGGCCCAAGATCACCAAAGTCAACCGCATGGGTGGTTCTAGTCTCTGCTCATCGGGCAGCTCTATAAACTCATCCTTCGTCTGGCATGGTTGTCGCAGGATTAACCAGGCCAAACAAGCAGCCTTCTCTGTCGCAAGCTTTTCCATTGAATCCTTTGGAAAGGACATTAAAACAAAACTGGTTGTTTTGCCAGTAAGCAGAGTTAACGTCCTGTAATCTGCGCAATACCCAATGAGCTTCGGTCTGAGCTCCCAAGCATTTTGGCTAGCTGGTCGTGAGGGTTGTTGGATGTCTGACTGGCCATTTTGGAAATCAACCGAATCACTGGATGCAAAAATCCACCTGACTCTTGACCATTTTGAACAGGAAACACTAGAAGCCTCCCGATCGGCGCCCTAACAAGACGGAGAGAAAAGCTGGATATGGCACAATCTTAAGAAAAAGGCTCAACTGAAGGTGTCCATTGGACTAATCTGATTCTCTCACAGCGTGATGCGACAGCCCTCGGACTCCTGCACTTGATGGAAGAGCCGTAAGCGGAAGGTGGAAGTGTGAAGGACATCAGCTGCCAATTCCATCTTCAATGCCCCTGCTGTGTCGTCACGACGTTGCACCAGTTCATCAAACCTGAAATCTTCGATTCTAGGGGACGAAAAGGGGGGAGACACAGTGGCCTATGGAGACACACCATTTTGGATACGCCAAGCACTGTGATCTGTGAAGAGTGGAGGACCTCCACTGGTACGGTATATCTATCCAAATCCCAGCCTCGAGCTTTGCACGAGATGGCTGGGTAACCAAAGGTATTGATACATGCGTTGTGCCCCTAAAACCAATGGTGTAGCCTGCTGTGGCGTCGCACCGGATGCAACCCCTGGGAGACTCACACAAACGTCGTCAATGCGTACGCTATTCCGAGCTACTGCATACAGGTGAGCCTTCCTGCTATATATCTTTGAAAAAACTCTGAGGTTAGAGGTTGCAAATCAACAGCAGTTTGCCCGCGAACTCACCTTCATAGAAATGGTCCACACGTGAAATTGCAGAGACCCTTCCAATTACCAGGAAATGTGTCCTTCATCTTCCTTCTCTTTTTCAAGTTTGGTTTGGTTTTCATATGTTTTCAGAGGTGGTTCAATTACTAAAATCAAGGATGATCCACTGGGGTTTGTATGTTCAAGGAGTTGAGACCGATGTCTTCTGTCTTGGCCAATACATGGATCTTTCCAGTGTGCGCCCCTTGGCCATGTGGCTCCGCTTCGTTCTCCATCAGTGCTCCTTACTGAACACCTAGAGTATGACGAATACGGACCGCAAAGGGATGTTCCTGAACCTGTGTTTGCTTGGAAGTGTCACCCATCGGAACCCAAATTACCAAGCTTTTCCAAGAGCCTGGACTTAGAACCTGAACAGGGGATCCCTCAAAGGAAACTCTTCTTGAAACGGGATTCTTTCGTTCATCTTCCGGGGTGGAACTGAGATTATAACCCAAAAATCATCCATGTATTGCATAGTTGCATTATAAACACACCACCCGATGTTGTAGGTAAATATACCCAACAGGAACTCGTACCCTGCCATATTCTACTACCTCTTCACCCAGCAACTGTTCCTCGTTCAACTCCATGAAGACATCACCAGTATACGCCCAGCACAACACAATGGCCATGGTGTTGGCGGGGGCGCAAGAGACAAAGGTGTACGGTGATCAGGAATCTCTAAAGTATAGACGAGTATCGGGCCATGAACCAACTAGAAGGTGTATAGGCTGTATAGAAGTAGAAGCGGTCAACAAATACATTGAAGTCAAGTACGAGAAGCTTGATTGATCTTGATCATTGTATGTTGAAAAAAATCCCAGTGACACTTCTTCACCCGGTTTTTGTCCCGACGCGAAACGCATGGTGGCATCGTGAAAACAGTGACTGGATCTCCCCATGCCAGGTGCTTGACGAATCAGTCGTCGGTTTCTTCCGAAATTGATCCTGCAAAACGTCACAAGTCCAGGTGCTTTCCGACGGATTCGTCCAGTCAAGTCCGAGATCCCTCATGTGAAGGACTGACAAGGCGAGAAACGACTCAACTACTTGAGACCATTTTCATGGAGGCAGGGATTTATGAAGACTATCACCTCCCAATAGGTCATGAAGACACTTGCTCAAAAATCTCAAAACAGCATCCTCATTCACTAATCAATGGAACCCCAGTGCCCTTCAGATCCCGAACATTCCAATTCTTTGGCATAGGCTCACCGAAACTCACTCTGCATCATGTTCCCATGCCCAAACCGCACAGCACCCCACAGGCATCCGAGCCCCAAAACTGGTGAAGAGCGGACCAATCGGCCACGCCAACATCGGCAGCTTCATCGTCTGGCGGAAGGCAGGCATGAAGAAGCCAAGGCTTGGGGACTGAGCCACAGGTTTGGAGCTGGGGTTTCTTGTTATTGTTGAGAGGGCGGTTTGTGTTTCCGTGTTTCCAGGAATGGCATCCACATTTCTCTGGGTGTCGACGACGCATTGCATGATCATTTCATGATCATTGCTTCCCCTCTCGTGTCGTGTTTACACACCGAGAGAGCCTCCCAACGGATTAGGGGGGAACGTCTTAGTTCCTCAACTTCCACCGACCTCCGGCAGCTTGGCTGGCCACAGCAAAGGCCGTCGTAGGCCGTGGCGAAAAAGGCTCGCCGTCACCCATCCTCAGAACAGGTCTCATGAGACCTCAACATCAGTGAAGTAGTGAGGCTTGGCTGGTTCTAGATGGATCATCCTCAAAAATGGTGCTTTACATTCCGGGAAAGCTTCTCGAGGTTCTTTGGGACCTCTCAATCCCCTTACCTCTCAAATCCACAAACTCTATCAAGTGTCTAGAATCACCAACATCAATAAGCAGCATAAGTACGTACCATTCTTCCCGCACTCTTTCCCGCACGGTCGGTCGCGCTTCACCACGACCTCCCACCCTCCGGCCTCCGCCGTTCACGCCCCCCCAAAGCCCCCCTGCTTGGGCCCCCGGCGGGCGGCGGGTGAGGCGATGAAGCGCCGAAAGGGCAGCAACAGGATGAGCACCTCGCGGTCTTCAGCGCCGGCGGCCGTCGTTTGTTCCGCGGCGGCGCAAGACGTGCAGACGTGGAAGTTGACCGAACTGGCTAGGACTTGTGAGGATCGTTCTTTTGTCTAGATGACAGACTATGACAGACTATGACTATTTTCGGGTGACAGAACCTATGGGGGAAAGGATGGGAAAGGGCGACTTCTTGGGAGATGCCCCTTACCTGCACTCTTTGCAACATGTCCGAGTCCCAAATCAGAATCCGATAATATGAATGACCCAAGATACCAGTACGTCAAGAATGCACGTTTGTAAGAAGCACACGCTGTTTGGATTCCAAGAGGCAAAGCAAAAGACGAAGCCAAACATCAGCACAATGATGGCCTCTCAGCATGCACAGGTTGCAAACCCTGATCACAAGCCCTGATGCAAATCATGAAGCTTCACTCACTCCCGGGGTGGGACAGTGATTTGTTCCTTTCTACAGCTGCGTGTTGATGTCTGTGTTCTCTGTAGCGCAAACATGGAGAACGCCATGCATCTTGCTTGCAGGTCTCGCGTCAGGCGTAGAAAAAATGCAATAGGACAATAAAAATCCAAGTGTAAGCAATAGACCTCAGGCCGTACACTTACAAAACAAGTGGAAGAGTGTGCGGATCGTTTTTAAGTTCGCAGCTTTGGGCCTTTGGGTTTGACCCAAAAATTTCACCATGTCCATTTGACGATTGAGACTGCATAAGGCAGTTTGCCAAGTCTATGGATTGGATTGGATTGGTGAAGTGCCACCTGCAAAAACCAACCGAAGAGTAGTGCATTCGTTTGGAACAGTCCTGTAGACTATACACACCCATGTCCACCCAGGGTCCCCAAACCCCTGATCCATAAGCCACCAGACCCGTCAAGTCCCACTGATTTCCAACCCTTTTCCCGACGATTGTCACAAAGTAAGTGCGGGATGCTGCTGCACATCAACCATGCGCACCAGCTTTGAAGAGGTGCCTTTTGAAGTGCTTCGCTTTGCAAAGGGTCGTGCCGCGGCTTTACCGATCGCTGTCAGCTTTGGCTGAGGCCCGCACAATCAAGTCGATGGGTGCATGCCACCAATTGGGACACGACCTTTGTGCAGGAGAAGAACTCGCAACTGGTCGAAGAAGTCAACCAATGTGGCAGAGTGCAGAAATGACATGAGGCATGTTCTTCGTTGAATATTGGAAGCAGCATATGTTCACAGCATGTTCACAGCCTCCAGAGTTCTACTTTGGGTTAGCAGCTGGCCCGAAACACTG